GTATGAGCAGCAATCCCCAATGATTGCCTCTGTATGAGCAGCAATCCCCAATGATTGCCTCTGTATGAGCAGCAATCCCCAATGATTGCCTCTGTCTGAGCAGCAATCCCCAATGATTGCCTCTGTCTGAGCAGCAATCCCTGATGAAGCAGAGCAGCCTGGACGACAGCATGGGCGAGCTGGACCTCGCAGGAGAGGACGAGGCTGGAGGCCCAGGCTCGTCTTCTCAGGACGGCGACGCTCCTGATTCTAGTAATATATTTTCATTCATTTATTATATATTTTCATTCATTTATTATATATTTTCATTCATTAAAACACTGTATTATTAGTTGAATTTATCATGCTCGTCTTCTCAGGACAGCGGCGACGCTCCAGATTCTAGTAAAAATATGTCTATATTATATATATATAGTAAGTACCTATAGTATATTATACATATTATATAATATACTATATATTATATAGTAAATATATAGTATATTATATATATGTATAGTAAGTAAGTATATATATTATAAACACTGTATTAAGTAAACACTGTATTATTAGTTGAATTTATCATTTATGGTTTTATATTATGGACGCAACATGATAAGTGAAGTTTATTGGGCCAAAGAATTGCATACTTTTTGCACGGCCGCCACGTTTTCTTTTGATCTTAAACACCTTTCACCTTCAGAGAAATTTATGAGTCTTTGTCCAAATGGCGATGTAGTTTGTGCCCTTGTGTAGGTCATCTTGACCCAGTTTTGACTCACTATTTGAACTATATTAACCATCCATTTTTCTGGGTACATTCATGTTTTTATCTTTATAAATGAAATTTACTGTCGTAAAATGAACTAAAATAAATTACTTTCCTTACTGTTTGACCGCATCGTTCTTTTATCATGTGACAATGGAAAATTCATATTTTGTTCTAATTGTTCGTTACTGTAAAGTTTTTTTATTCGTTAGTTCCCTTATTTGGGCTCATGAATGGTACTGGAGCTTACAAGTTCATGGTTAAGATTGTCAAATGATTAACTTGGTAATGAAGCCTTTTAGTTCGTCATTGCGATTAGCATATTGATATCTTATCATATAATTAGGATTAAATGAATTATTTCTATAAATATATGAATTATGAATATGAATAAATTACTAAATATGAATATTACATATTCATGAATATATTGCTATATAATTGAGTTATTATATCATATCTTATTATATAATTAGGGTATTATATGAATATATTGCTATATAATTAGGTAATTATATCAAAATCTTATTACAGAATTAGGATATAATACGAATATATTATACTATATAATTAATTTATTATAACAATATCTTATTCTATAATCAGGATATTATATCTATATAATATTTTATTATTGTCAGACGACAACAGCGACTCTGGCATCAGCGACGACGACCCCAGCAGCGGGGAAGTCTCCCCCGATGGTCCCCTTGACGAGGGGGAGATGAGGGGGGAGGGGGGGATGAGGGGGGCTGATGAAATAGACCCCTCAGGCTCCCCTCGACCCCTCACCCCAGCCCTCCCCCACACCCCTGCACCACCCCCGCCCCCCAATAAAGGTTGGTTGGTGTTGGTGCCAGCGTCAGCCATCATCTATTGTTTGTTATAATGTTATTATTACTTATAATATGATAATAATTATTAATAATAATAATAAATAATAATAGATGACGGCTGGTGCTTCTAATATAAGAATGCTTCTGAAGAATAGGTATTATTTACAAAAATATAATATACTATACAATAGCATTTTGAAATAATATTATATTATAATATTATATTATATAATATAATATACGGTTATAAAATAATATATAATATAACAGTTTTCCTATGCTTTGGAACTTTTGGTTAGTTTTCCTTGTCAAATTAAAGTTGAATTTGTAAATTTGCTTGAGTTGATTTTTATACCTATTAAATAAGTTGATAAGCTGATTATTATTTTGTATATACACGATGCATACGTACTGAATTTAATTACACTCAAGTTGAACTGCGCCTTCACCAAGTCCAGGGAAAAAGTTCAAAACTTAACGCCAACAAAGTTTAAAACATGGAAAAATTTACTTGAAAATTAAAACTTCATTAGTTTAAAATTTGTCATGAAGTTTAAAACTTGATATAAAGTTTAAAACTTGATATAAAGTTTAAAACTTGATATAAAGTTTAAAACTTGAAAAAGAGTTTTAAACTGATACAAGATGGAAAGAAAGACTAAGAGAGAAGGAGAGAATTGGTGCTGAAAAATTTTAATTTTTCTTTAATTTAAATATTTCTTAAAATGTTAATCTCAAATAACGTCTTGAAAATGCATAAAATTTTACCATTTAAAGCATTGTTTCATTACAGCTAAAGATTCCCTTAAATGATTGATATTTAAATATAATCTTTGTTAGCGACTGATGTTTAAGATAATTTTGAATCGAAATTGGTGAAGATGATTTTGGCTCTCATTTTTTTCATATTTTTTATTGAATAATTTCTCAGAAGTACAAGAAAATTTTAATAAATATTTAATAATAATAAAATGTAATAATAATAAAATAATTAAACAATTTAAAATTTCAGGCCTGCCTTGGACTCCGAAGGTTCGTCAAAAAGACGTTGACAATTTCCTGGACGTGAGCCGCGAGAAATTTGTGGGCTTCCAGCTCGTGGGTGACCGCACTACCCTGGCGGGCCTGCCGCCCCCCATACACGAGGGCGTCCACACACTCAACAAAGTCTGTTTTTGTGTTCTGTATATCTTGTTGTTGTAAGGTCTTGTTGTTATAATATCTTGTTATAATGTCTTATTGTTATAATGTCTTGTTGTTATAATGTCTTATTGTTATAATATCTTGTTATAATGTCTTATTGTTATAATATCTTGTTATAATGTCTTGTTTTTATATTATCTTGTTCTTGTAATGTCTTAATGTAAGACGCATCATTAGCCATTTTTATTAATTGAAACATTAGCTTAATCTAATGTATCTCGCAGCACAAGATGCATGAACTTAACACGTTGACTCCGAAGTGATACATATGCGTACCACGAAATGTATTTCTCCAGGACGTAGTGGTACATAATTCAGGTTGCCTAAAATCAGCCAAATCCGAGAACAAAAAAGGCCGATAACTCAATATACGTATACTAGGTAGTTTATTTGTAGGTTCCACTATAAAAATTCCATTTATTCTCTTTTTGCAGTATTTAAAATTTAATTAGGAAGTACCCCTATCATAAATTTTAGCCGGCCAACGCAATTGAGATAAACTAAATCACGGAATTTGTCCCAAAAAAATGACCGTCTGTCAACCCTGTTTAAAAACAGTACAAAAAATGAAATAATAGCACAAGATGAAGCAATCGTCACAATCGTCGTGCCTAAGAGTCATATTATACCTAATGCTTCTTACAACACATTACATAAATGCCTGATATACCTCGTGTCATAGCTCATAGTCCTAGTATACCTCATGTCATGATTCATAGTCCTAGTATACCTCATGTCATGACTCATATTCCTAGTATACCTCATGTCATGACTCCTCATAGTCCCAGTATACCTCATAGTATTTGTATACCTCATGCCTCGTGCAGCACATCTACACCTCGCTGAGTGAGGTCCAAATGAAGCGTGAAGACGAAGTCAACCGCAACCCGATGTCCCGACCAGAGAAGGACGTGCCGCAGACGCCTGCTGAGGTCCTGTACCAGGTACTAATTGTCAAGGATCTTTTTATGCTTTTAAACTAGCATGACAATAAGCCCGTAACAATTGGTCCTATACCAGGTACTAATGGTCAGGGATCTTTTTATGCTTTAAAACTAGCATGACAAGAAGCCCGTAACAATTGGTCCTATACCAGGTACTAATGGTCAGGGATCTTTTTATGCTTTAAAACTAGCATGACAAGAAGCCCGTAACAATTGGTCCTATACCAGGTACTAATGGTCAGGGATCTTTTTATGCTTTTAAACTAGCTTGAAAAGCAGCCCGTGAGATATTTTCTCCAAAAAATAATACGTTTGAGGACTGGGATGTAATGATATTTTCCTCGAGATAAAATACGATTAAGACTGCCTCGTATCCAAAATTAAATGAATTTTTAGACGATTTCAATGTTATGAGTAGGAAGTCCAACTTACACACCTTTTCACGGTTGTGACAATAGTGAATACTTTTACGTATATTGAACATTTTTTAATCTACAGTGAATTTGAACATCTCTTTAAAAAATGAGAACAATACAAGTAAATAGATGAGTATATAATACTTATGTGATTTTTGATGAATGTTTATGTTCACTACAGTGTTTGCTGCCCACGCTGCCGCAGTGCATGATTGCCCTACTCAAGGTATTGCTCGCCGCCGCCCCAACATCAAAAGCCAAAACCGACTCCATCAACATCATGGCTGATGTATTGCCTGAAGAAATGCCGTAAGTGCTTCATTATTAGAATTATACTATATTATTATTACAGGAGTCATGCTGTCAGAAATGGTTAAGAGTTCATAAGAGGTTGGAGCCCTGACATTTAAACGCCAAGACCGACTCCATTGACATCATGGCTGATGTATTGGCTGAAGAAATGCCGTAAGTGCTTCATTATTAATTAAAGAGCTTGCTTGTCAATAATACTAAACCTAACAAAAATATTGACTTGTTATTGATTATTTAATTTTGCAGGCTAACTGTGGTGCAGAGCATGAAGTTGGGACTGGACGTTAACCGCCACAAAGAAATATTAGTAAAGTCTGTGTCAGCTTCACTATTACTCCTCCTCAAGCATCTCAAACTGAACCACGTGTATCAGTTTGAGTTCATGTCTCAACATCTCGTCTTCGCCAACTGCATCCCGCTCATACTCAAGTTTTTCAACCAAAACATCATGTCTTACGTCCGCACTAAAAACACGTGAGCAAAATCTTGTTATTTCGAATAAAAACGAATGCATCTGTTATTGTTTCGATTTAAAACTGAAACTTCCATATTGCTTTTATTAAAAACAAATGCTTCCAAGTTTTTCAACCAAAACATCATGTCTTACGTCCGCACTAAAAACACGTGAGCAAAATCTTTTTATTTCGAATAAAAGCGAATGCATCTGTTATTGTTTCGATTTAAAACTAAAGCTTCCATTATTGATTTAATTTAAAACAAATACTTCCCAATGATGATTTAGATCGTTGCTAGATCGAAGCTAGAAATGCAATAGATAACCTATCTTTCACTGCCAGTGTCGGTTTTCTCGCTTAGATCTACCGATGTATAATTTTTTCTTATTTTAACGTGGATTATATTTTAAACAACTATTATGTATAATATATAGTAAGAAAAGAGTACATTATAATTATTATATACCTTTTAGAATCGTGCTTCTAGACTTCTCATCATGTAAAAGTTCAAAATATTGTGTGTAACTATTATATTTATCATATAATAATATATAGTAGTTATTACATAGGTACAGTTATTCATTATTATATGTATCATATAATAACTACTATATATCTAGAATTGCCCTTCTTGATTTATTCCTGTATGATAAATATTCAAAATATCATATCCATTATAATATCTACCGTATACTAATGCAAAAATTGTACAGTAAATCTTTTATACTTTGTAGAATCGCCCTTTTGCACTTCCCGTTGATTTAAAAGAAGGAAATCTTTACTTAAAATATATTTAGGACTTATTAATATTTTTAATTACTTTTTTATTTAGAAATTATTTACCAGTTGTAGACCAAGCTTGTATAATTCAAACAAAGCACATAATAATTATTATATACTTTATAGAATCGCTCTGCTGGACTTCCCGTTGATTTAAAAGCAGGCCATCTTTACTTAAAATATATTTAGGACTTATTAATATTTTTAATTACTTTTTTACTTAGAAATTATTTAACAGTTGTTAACCAAGCTTTTGTGATTTCAACAAAGCACATAATAATTATTATATACTTTATAGAATCGCTCTGCTGGACTTCCCGTTGATTTAAAAGCAGGCCATCTTAACTTAAAATATATTTAGGAATTTTTAATATTTTAAATTACTTTTTTATTTAGAAATTATTTACCAGTTGTAGACCAAGCTTGTATAATTCAAATAAAGCACATAATAATTATTATATACTTTATAGAATCGCTCTGCTGGACTTCCCGTCTTGCGTGATCGGTGAAGGCGCAGACCTCAGCAGCGACGCTCTCCTGGCCTGCATCGGGGCCGCTGCTGGGGGCGCTCTAGACGCTCAGGGTCTGAGCTATTAATTATTATAATTAATTATTAATTGTTTAGACTCTGTACAACCTCAGGGTCAGAGCTCTTAATTAATATAATATAATTATTAATTGTTTCGAGTTAGTACAACCTCAGGGTCAGAGCTATTAATTAATACAATATAATTATTAATTGTTTCTACTTAGTACAACTGATGTACTGATCAATGCTGTCATATATGTGTTGAAAATTGAATGAGTGATTTTCAGTTATGCTCTTCCCTGCTATCCATTGAAACAAAATTTTTTTGACTCAAACAAATGATAATTGAATTTAAATTTCCGTGACTTGAATTCAGAGTACAGATTACCTGCTGTATACACTCTGAGTAATGATCGGGTCATTGTCTAGTAGCGATGCTGTTTTTATCCCTATGCGAGTCATCCTGACCCAGTTTTTTCCAGCAAAAAGTAGGTATCAGTGCTAAGTCCTAAGTGCAGCAAATGTGCCATTATTTTAACGATGTTAGTTTTTTTGTGTAACTGTAAGTGCAGACGGTTTCCATTATTAGTTTTACGATATTACCTATTAATTTTTTTCGTGCAGATGGGAAATCTTTTGACGCCGGCAGCAGCAACTTATTAAGCATAGATGCCCACTCACTATCCTCACCCTCTCCATCACCATCTACAAGCAACAATAACAATAATAATAATAACAATAACAACAACGGTAACAACAGTTCAACAGCTGGTATCAACAACGCCGAGACGAGTGCTGCGTGTTGCTGGCGAAATATGTTCTCTTGTATCAACTTGTTGCGCGTGTTGAACAAGCTGTGCAAGTGGAAGCATTCCCGCATCATGATGCTGGTCGTCTTTAAAAGCGCCCCCATCCTTAAACGTACTCTCATGGTGAGTGAGAAGATGGTGAACATGTATGGTGAACACTCAAACGAATCAAATTTGTGGTTTATATAGGTAGTAATTAGCGTTTTTAGCATTACAATAGCAGATGGTGAGCACCATTTGTGGCATTTGTATGCTCAAAAATAGGGATCAAATTTGTTACTTATTTTGAATTTAGCATTACAGTTGCTGTTTTTATATATCATTGCTTTTAATTATTTATAATAATGTACAGAATCCTTGATATTCTTTGTTTGGGCTGCTGCTGCTATTTGTTTTTTTTGCTGATTCTGCTGCTGATTGTTTATTTAATTAAATGATGTTAGAAATGTGCATTATTCGGAGCTCCTCGAAAATTTGTTAGTGAAAATTTGTCCCTGTTGAAGAACAATAGCCAGAAGTGACAACAAGTGTTCACTATAAAATTTTATTTGAATTATGCGAATAACTAAGAATTATAATATAAGTTCGCCACCATAATAAGTAGTACAGGGTCATCAATATTTAGCGTTACAACTTTGAGTGGTTAGAACCATGATATGAAACACAATTATGAATGTTTGAAAATGTATTTATGTAGGCAGAGGTTCAGAGATACAATTCCCACAATTTCATTTAATATGTCCACCATCTGCATCAATAACGAGTTGTAGACGCTTAGAGAAAGCCTTACACGAGTCACGAATGACACTCTGCGGGATTTTGGCCCACTTCTTCAGCAGTTTGACCTCTAGGGCGTCCAAACTGCTATGGTGAACGGTCGAGACCTTGCTCTCAAGGTATGACCAGATCCCAAAATCCAGAGGATTCAGATCGGGTGACGATGAGGGCCATCCATCTTTGGTAATGAAGTGAGGAACATTCTCGGGCAGCCACTCCTCTGAGTCGATTTGGCCTCATGGGATGGTGCAGACTCCTGCTGGAACGACCAGGGGCGTTTTTTGAAGTGCTTTCGTGCCCAGTGCAACACTGCACCAACAAGGATGGCATCTCGATTGTTCTTCTGATTCAATTTCACCCGTTTGTCAACAAAAAAGAGGGGACTCCTTTAGGACTCTGTTACGGCTGCCCAGACCATCACTGAGGTCGGGCATTGCTTCCTAGTCACCACACGGGATCCTCCGTCCCATTCTTCGACCGAATTCGATCATTTTGGGAGTTGAAGTGGTGTTCAACATTGAATATCTTCTCATCACTGAAAACGAGGTTTGGCAACGTGCCATCATGAATGCGGGAAAGAAGAATCTTGGATCTTTGGAGGCGTTTGTCAGCAACTTGAGCAGACAGTTGGTGTTTTTTGACTTGCTTGAATGGGGGACAAATTTAGGTCCTTCCGGAGAACAGTCGACATGGTTCCATACGACACATTTGACGGTTTTGCGAGCGTATTGATTTTGAAAAAACTATGTAACGCTAAATATTGATGACCCTGTAATTGCAGGAGTATGTATAGATGCAAATTGGTTGAAGTATGCAAAGATAAGTACTGAGTAATAATTAATGTATTTGTAATGCAGGTTCGCCATCGTCTCAACGATGACTGGGCTTACGGCAACGATCCCGACGCTCGGCCCTGGGACTTCCAGACCGAAGAGTGCTCACTTAGAGCGGCGGTTGACCGCTTCAATACGCGCCGCTATCACCACGCCCACACTGTCAGTGACATGTGCTGGTGTTGTCTGTAACATGTGCTGGTGTTACTTGTAACATGTGCTGGTGTTGTCTGTAACATGTGCTGGTGTTACTTGTAACATGTG